CAGTGCTGGCAGTGCCTTGGTCTGTTGGCGGTGAGCAGATTGAGGCAAAGTCAGAGAGAGGAGAGCGCTTGATGGATTCATGGCGTCTCTGTTGATAACATCGTTCTTTAAGAAGGCTACTGCGGAAGAGCTTGAACAGCAGAAGAAAAGGGGAGAAGCTGAATGGGCAGCCAAAAAGGCAGAGGAGGCTGCCAAGTTGGCGAGAGATGAAGAAAGGCGCTTGGCAGCTCAAAAGGCCAAAAGGCCTGTAGGGAGGCCAAAAAAGAGAGCTCAAGCAGTGGTGCTCATGAATCCAGTTGACATTGGCCCGGAGGTTGAGACTGGGCCAGTGAGACCACCAGATGAGCAGCCGCAAGCAAAGAAGCTCAGGGGTGCTTACAACAAGTGGGGCTCCTCTGATCTCTGGCCCCACATTGTCCACGCAGTCGAGACGCACCCACGATCGCTCACTGAAGCCCTGAACTATCTGCAGCACATCAAAAAGCCCGGCCACTCAGCGAGTCCATTTGATCAGTTGACTTTGAGCACCTTGAAGAACTGGTATGAGAGGGGGGAGCAGACAGGTTGGTGTTGGAAGCTGAAGAAGGAGGTGCAGGAGAAGGCCAAGCTCATAGAGGCCGGAAGAGCAGCTCAGTTGCGGGTGAACAATGCCCACTTCAGAGGCATTTTCAAGGATCATCCTCAAGTTGCGCAGAAAATCATCCGGTGTTTGCTAGGGCTGCGCGACGCTGGCCAGCAGGTCGACAGCAACGTCATCAAGAGCGTGATGAAAGGGGTGATAACGGCGGATGCTCTGGAGCTCTTTGAGAAAGTTGTGGGCCGGGACAAGAATGGGGAGCCAGTGAAGTTTGCAGTTCGGAAGAGGTTTGCGCAGAAATTTGCTAGGAAGCACTTGGGGTGGACATGGCGCCGGAGTACGGGGGCAGCAAGAAAGCTTCCGGAGGACTGGGAGCTGCAGGGTGACAAGATGGCTTATCGGGTGGCAGCGCTGTGCTCGATGCACTCAGTCTCAGTCCCAGATGGCCTTGTGGTCAATTCATGTAACGGTACGACTGCGCACCGACTCCCGGCTGCGCGCTGAACTCGCGGCCGCGCATCGTCCGTTATTATACGCTATCGGCTTATTGAATCACTACACGCCACGTGTCCAGGTTACTGCTTCACCGCGTGACCGTCCGATAAGACCCACGTGCACCGCGTACGAGGGAACCGTCCGATAAGCTTTCGAGACTAAGCTTATGGCCGGCCGAGCACCGAAACTTCTAGACTAACACTTCTTACCGTGGACTCAGATTCTTATGCGAAGCTTCCAGATGCGAGATCAGCTTAAGTATAAAATCTGTGGTCAAGCTTGCATCATGACATAGTGTATCATGGAATGACCAATGAGTGTGACGCTCTAGGCCTTGAGCAAGCCTAGAGGCGCACATTTACCTAACTAGTATAAATAATACGGTGAAAACAGCCGGAATATCAACGCGCGTCCTTTTTGGCTGCCGTAGCACAGTGGTAGTGCTTCGGACCGTCACACTGGTATCAGAGGGGTGACGTCAGCTTGACGTCACTTTCCGTCGACCTACGGGTCGTGGGTTCGAATCTCGACTTCCGCAACTC